TCTGCTGTTAAATATTAGGATCAGAAAACCATCCTTTTAGGAACAGCAGGGGCAATTTATGTGTGGTGCCGCTGTGTTTCTGTTAAATTTTAACTCAGTAGCTGTAGGTGGGTCATGCAGGCTCTCATTGCCATAGTCCCCACCATACCATCCCCTGTTATATTACATCTGGCCTGTTTCATTCAATTACCTGCCTGGCTCTTGAAAACATTTAGATTTGATACCCTGATGATCTCCTAGACCAGCGGTTCTCAACCTTCCTAATGCCGTGACCGTTTAATACAGTTCCTCATGTTGTGGTGACCACCAACCATAAAATTATTTTTGTTGCTAATTCATAACTGTAATTTTGCTACTGTTATGTCTTAGGCAACCCCTGTGAAAGGGTCGTTTGACCCTCAAATTGATTGCAACCCACAGGTTGAGAACCGCTCTGTAGATCTAGAGGCTCCCAGGTTTCCAAGCAGGGCTCCTACACTCAACCCACCACCCCTATCCTGGCTGCACTCCCAGCCAGCCATTCAGACCCTGCAGCATTTGCCTACACCCTGAAGCAACTCTGGCTCTTTCTTCTTCTGTCTCCACATGTGGCTTTTCCTCCTTGTGACTGCCCAGGTACTGCCCTGTCCTCACCCCAACATCAGTTTTATTATTCTCTGTATGCACACCTGGGAGAAAGAGTTTGCAGGAAACATCTTAGCCGAAGTTGTGATTTCATGGCATATGAGTAGATGTGGTTTCACCAGTTTTTGGAGGGTTGACCTTTACGTAGATTGGCGTCTCATCTCTACAGTGTTTCTAAGAGAAAATATGTTCCAAATTTCAAACAAATGAATTCTGAATGAATTTGACGACCCAATCCCTTCATAACTTGAGAACTACACTGACCAAAGTTCCAATATGGTGGACAGTTCACAAACTTTGGAGACATGCAGATTTGAATTTCAGTTTTGGCTTTGCCACCTACTAATTAGGTGACTTTGGGCAAATTACTAAACACTCTGAAGTATGTTTCTTTATCTGTAAAATGAGGAGATGATCTTGTTCACAGTGTTGGTACAAAGATTTGGTGAAAGAATGTATATACAGCTTTGAGTATGGTGGCCGATATACAGTAAACACTTGTAACATAAGGGAAGAATTAGGATAATCTATTATATTTGTTAAATGATAAAAAGTAACACTTTTACAGAAAAGACAACATCTAATTAACATATTTTTATTATGGAAAGCTGCAGGAAAGGGAAAATTTAAAAGGAGAAAATAGAAATCAAAATCTCATTATTTAATGAAAACCACTATTAACATCTTGGTGCTTTTCCTCTCAATATTTTACCATGTACCTGTGTACTTTACACAACTGGAATTAGGCCAAATATATTATTTGACATCCAACCTTTTTCATTTAAAACACTGTAAGCTTTTTTTTTCAGTAAAAATTTTTTACAAATAATGTTTAAAACTTTTTTTTAATTTAAAAGGATTTTAAAACTACTCAATAATTTAATTATTCATTCCTTTAATGCTGAACAGTAAGATTATTTCCTTTTTTTTTTTTTTACTCTCATGAAGAACACTTTTATATAAAATCCTGGAAATTTTATTTTTATCTACATTTGTGCTTATTTACTTAAAATAGCTTCCTAGAGGTAGTATTGCCAGGTCAAAGGGTGTGCATACTTTTGACCCTCTTGCAAAAGACAGTTGAGTAGCCCTTCAGAAATGCTATAAAAACTTATCCTCTGGGACATTTTAAAATTAATGCTGTTGCCTTCCTGTTTGCTTCTGTGAGGAGTCCAGAAGTTGACTCCAGCGCCAAAGAACAGCTACTGTGGAGAGTGGACACTGGGGCCCGTCCAGCAGGCACTGCCTTTTCTAACAGTGCCCCGAATTCCTTTGGGGACTTTGTCTCTGCCCCTTGCACAGTCTTCATGGGACTCCAGAGTTGGAAGGTCCCTGGGGGGGGGGGGAGGGAAGAGGGATGACGGTGGAGAAGCCAGCTGCAGAAATGCCCAACCCCAGGCACTGCCCCTTGCAACCAGGCTGCAGAGATGTTCTGTGCTCCTGGGGCAGGGAGCTGGGGGCCCTGTTTTCACAGAAGGCTTGCCTTTGGCCTGAGGACCTCCCTCTGCAGTGGGTCGGGCAAGTGCTGAAGCTTTTGAATAAGATCTTGGGTTCTTATTTTCCTTTCTTTAATCCCAAATTAGGCATAAAGAAGGCATTTAATCCTGCAGTGCCAGGCACCAAGAAGGTGCCCAGCACATGTTCGCTGAAATGACCATGGAGGGTGACTGAGAGAGAGACTGAAGGGCTATAACAAGTACCATATAACTCTCCTCCAGCCTTGTTCCCTAAAAAAGTCCCTGGAGAAAGCCACTGGGATGAGATTAGAGTGACCCTTTCGCACACTAGGTTTGTTCTGCCATCTGGTGGTGGGCAAAGGAAGACGGGCAGGGATGAGACCCCCAGCAGAAGGCAGTCAGGGCATGAGGAACCTGCAGTCTGGAAGCCACCAGTGGGTGAACAGACCGGGGGGGGGGGGGGGGGGGCTGGAGCCACCTGTGGGCACCTCAGAACTCGGGTGCTGTGTGAAGGCAGAAAGGCAGGAATTATTCTCAATAATAATTACAGCTACTGTTTATTGAGCACTTACTACCTACTAGACTGTCCAAAGAGCTTTTCGTACTTTCAATCTTCTAGTCCTTCCAGCAGCCCCTTGTGAGGATGGGAAACTGAAGCCCAGAGGAGTCCCGTGACTGGCCCCAGTTCACCCAGCCCATCCCGGCAGGGCAGGAATCCATGGAGCATTACCTGCCTTTGCAGCTTGGGTTTCTAGGCACATTTCCAGATTCACAGAGAGAAATCTCCTGTATCCTTCTGTTCCATCGCCCTACCCCACCCAACCCATTCCCTGGACAACAGAGGGTGGTTCTGTTCACTGTGGCTCACAGCCCATTTCCACCTTCTGTGCCCCTCTCAAGTCCCCAAGTCTCTACTCTGAGCAACTCTGAAAGGAAACATTTCTCTCCCTGGGCCAGGAGATTGTCAGTGGGGAGAGAAGATGGTGAAGTCCCTTGTCTACAGTCAACAAATATAAAATGTTTTAGACTAATGTTCCCTGTTCTTTCCCCGTATTGGTCAAGTGAGATGAGGACACAAACTAGGCCCCTAAAAGACGCCATCTCATCTCAGATGGGCCACTGTAAACTTTGCTTCTGAATCCAGAAAGAGCTTCTTGCGCTTTGTAGGAACAATGGCAGGACTGGCCCAGGGCTACCCCGGCCTTGTTCCACAGGTCAAAGGACCAACCAGACATCCAGCGAACACACAAGGAGGACAGGTGACCTGCCAGCCTGCAGACACCCCCCGGTTAGGGACGCTGAGGTTTATTTAGGAAACAGCGGCCATTTCTCCTGCCTGGCCCACCCAGATGAGTAATAAACCACCTATTTTTAGTTTAGGATTTTGTTTTGCTTTTCCCTTTTTAGAAATATATCCAGACACGTTTCCCAGGGTTGAGACTGCAGTGAATTTACTCTTTAGAGGATAAGGAGAGAGCACTCTGAAAAGGAGAGTGGTCTCCAAATGCACTTGGACTACAATTTACCCCCAAGAATAAAAAGTTATCAGTAATAACTTCAACATATTTCATTCAACACAAATGTACCACTTGATGCCTTAAAAGACCAAAAGGGATAATATTAGTGAGATCCTCAGCCACTATGTCCTCTGATACAGGCACCACCATCCCATCCTCGCTTAGTGGCTCCAGCATGGTCACTGCCTGCCTCTCCCAGAAGTGGACAACCTTTTGTCCTTTGAGTACCACTTGCTGGTTCTTACCACTCTCCAACCTAGACACCGCTTATTTCCCTTTCTTGTAATATGATCAATTAACTTTATTCACTCATTTGGGTAACCATATTTATTGATCACCTAACATGTGCCAAGCATCAGCACTCACACTCGGCCTGCGGTCCTGAGAGACCCGGGTTCGGTTCCCGCTAAGGGCGCGTACCTCGGTTGCAGTTTGTCCCCGGCCCTGGTTGGTTGTGCGGGTGGCAGCCATTCGATGTGTCCCTTTCACATCGATGTTTCTCTCTCTCTCTCTCTCTGTTCCTCTCTCTCCCTCCCACTCTACCTGAACAAAAAATGGAAAAATGTCCTCGGGTGAGGATAAAAAAAATAAAAAAAAAAAGAACATCAGCACTCACAGCCAAGAGGAAGCAACGCAAACTAATAAATGAAGCAATTACAATATGGGGTAGAAAATGCTAAGTCAGAGATATACAAAGATAGACATGGGGGCCCTTCTATCACATCCTCTTCCCACTTCCTTACCTTTCCCCAGTGCATGCCTCAAGCTGCTGTCTCATCCACTGCAGAGCCTCTGAGTTTCGTTTGTCGCTAAATGGTTAGATGGCCCCCTTGCCCCAGCATGACACAAAACCAACCACAAACTGCAAAGGAGCCCCACCAGTCTTTGGAGCATGGACCACTCCAACAAGAAAGCACATAGGAGGGGAGAGAAAAGTTCACAAACGCTAAAAATAAGGTTTGCAGAATGCCTAAATGAATACATGAATAACAATGACAATTCAATTGATGATTTAATGAATAAATCAGAGAATGAACTTTCAACCCCGAAGCAACACAGAATTTTAGAGTTTCTAACACTTGTGCTTGTTCATTGAATGTCATGTTTCCCCAGAAAGTTCTCTACAAAGATTTTTTAGAAAATTAAAATTTAAAAGTTCACTGAGAAGAGGACAATGCACTTGGGGGGGGGGGGGATGGAGCTGTTGAGGGGAGTTTTATTTATTTATTTATTTATTTATTTATTTTATTTTTTGGTGGTATATGCCCCTAGCGGGAACCAAACCCAGGACTCTCTGGTCCACAGGCCGACGCTCAACCGCTGAGCCAAACTGGCCAGGGCTTGAGGGCTGAGGCTCAAGATCATTCAGGCAGGAAAAAGCTGAGTGGCCACCCCTCCCCACTCCCCCACCCTCCACCCCCGAGTTAAGGGAAGAAGCTCCAATTTCCTGGGCCAGAGCCTTGTGAGGCAGCTTGGCTGTTGGGGAGACAGAGCTACAGAAGGCACTAAGTTTGGGGTTTCTTACTTAATCAAACAGGTGTATCATCCTTATCACTAGATGGAAAGTTATATGTGAGTCAACATTTTCATGTTTCCTACTTAAGAGAGACTTTCTGGGAAGACTTGGATGTTGCAGACAATAGCATTCTAACATGTCTGTTCTGTCAATGGAGGTATTCTGTAAAGAGGACCAGAATCGGGGAGGAAGAAAGTTGTGTAGTCTGGGGCCTGTTTGAATAGCTTAAATGCCCATCAAGGCTCCCTGGTTCTCTGAGATAAACTGGCTGAAGCTTTTGACTTTGGGGTTCAGTCGGTGGGTGAGCTTGACATCACGGTCGGGCTTCATGCGATAGAAACGAAACATGTCGGCCATTTCCTTCGCTCCAGGGAATCCCAACTTCTCGTAAGCTTCCAGGGTGATCTTTAAGAACAAGTTTTTAAAAATTATAATAATACATTTTAATAAAAGGAAATGTTTCAGCTCTGATTGAAAATAGTTTGAGAATAAATCATTCACCTTAATGATGATATAGGTCCACATTTCTTTAGTCTAACTCCAAAACCCAAGAAACTCTCAAATTTTTTCATAAGTAATTTGGGAGCAAACTGACTTTTCTGAACTAATTCTGATTGGAACTTAGGTGAAGCTATTTATGCTCTTTAATTGTCCCATTTAGGGAAAATAGTCACATAGTTTTCTGCAGAGAGATTGATGTGCTTGATTACGGGTTCCTGCCCGGCCCCTGATGTTGATTCACATAATACCTGTGGAACACAACCTACCTAAAGGCTGAAAGCTTCTGAAAGCTGAATTGTTTCTGGCCCCAAACACTTTGAATAAAGTACTATGGATCTGTCCCCCTTCACCTGACCAGCTTTCATAGACATGTCCTCCTGCAGCCCTCTCAGTATCCTGCCCACCTGGCCCTCCACACAGCGTCTCCCGCACACTCTGGCACCAGGCTCTCTATCCTTTCCTCCTGGCTGATGTCCCTTCATCATCATTCCCCTCCTTGATTAGAAATGAGCATCTTGACTTCAACCATCCCAGACTCTGCCGGGCCCAGGCCCAAACTAATGCTGCCCATCACACACTTAGTGAGCTGCTTCTGCCGCCTTCCACAACCCCCCCCCCCCCCTTAAGGCCCTCTGACAGTAACTAGATCAACAGTCCCCCACCTGAATTAGTGAAAACCGTTTCTGACTCCTGGATCCAGTGTCATCTGTCTTGAGCCCCCAGAGATAAACTCTAACCTTGCTATCCACTTGGCCTTAGAAAAAATGTGACACACAAACAACTCATATAAAACAATTGTCACTGTTTTATAATATGAAAAATTGAAAATAACCTATATGTGTAAAAACAAAGGAATGGCAGGATAAATTATAGTACATCTACTTTACGACTATTATGCAGTTATTAAAATTTATGTTTTTAAAAAACATTAACAAAATAAAAATGCTCATGATAGAATGTTAAATGAAAAAGCTAGGTACAAACATATATATTGGAAAAAGACTAGAATAAAATGTGCCAGATCCTAACAGTTGCTATCTCTGAGTAGGTGATTTTTATTTTCTTTTTTTATACTTTCCTGAAATGAGCATCTGTTATTTTTGAAATAAAAAAAAACATTAAAAATTTAAGCAAGAAGAGTACATAAGAACTTAGAAAATGTCTGCCTTCTTCAGTTGCTCCCTCATCCTGTAACTTTGATAACTAATATTCCTTAGTGAAATAAGGGATTCTTTTCTGCAGATTTTTGAAGGAAAGAAATTTGATTTGTCATGTTTCACTTTCTGAGAGGACCATGTTCCCTCTGGAGTTGGACAGACAGTTTCAGCCAGGCCAGAGCTCCTAATGGGAGTTGTTTCAGGGCATGCCCTCAACTCACTGAAGCAGCTATGCAAACAGCCTCCTGACCACACTGAGGAACAAGTCAGACTGCCATGGCTGGAGCGCCACCTTGTGGCCACATGCATCCTTCCTCAGAGTAGCATGATGCCCAAGCATTTCCCCACTCTAGAATCCTGGGCAGCATCCTCAAGTCAGACTAGTTTAAGAACAGCATTAACCATTCTGTAGAATTTCCAGCGTCTAATGCCCTAGAACTTTCAGTGCCAGAGAAGTTTCTGCTGAACTGTGAAACAACTTGATGTACCAAAAACAATCAGGGACCAAGTATGTGATTGAGAGATGCTTGGAAGGTCCTGAGCCATCCAAAACAATGTCTACCCAGTCCTCTGAGAATGAACACACACACCATCTGCCCACACTCCTTCACCGTTCTCCCCTTCTTCCTTACAGACGTCAAACCCCACAAAGCAAAAGAAATATAAGGCCCAAATGCAAATACCCTGGAAAAGGGGTCAGTCCCTGGGAAGTATATTTGCACCCAGCTACAAGTGGCTTTGCAGATCCTCTCATGAGTCCTTATTTTCTCCACTAAAGACACCTACTATAGTTAAAAAAAAAAAAAAAAAAAAACATTACTTAGCCTCCTCATAGCTCCTGTTCCTGATGTTGAATTGGGAATCTAGATATCCCAAGACTCAAGACTCACTGGACCAAGAGTTGCAGATGAAAACAAAACCCAACTTTTTATCCCTAACACTAGGAAAATTCTAGAGAGGGGGGTCAATAATGTTTTTCTTAAAGGGCAGGATATAAATACTTAAGGCTCTTTGGATCGTATGGGCTCTGTCACAACTGCTTAATGCTATCGAGTCATGAAAACAGCCACAGACAATACATAGACAATAGTATGGCTGTGTTCCAATAAATGTTTAATTTACAAAACAGGTGCAGGGGTCCTACTTGAGGACCCCTACTGTAGAGAGATGGTGCTGGGTAAGGACCACAGAAATCCTCCAAACAACACTAACATTTTGCAGATAAAAGAATGCAGCCAAGGGAGGCACAGAGCCAGACGTTCATGCCTCCAGCTTGAAAGAAGGTATGGGTCCTCCTTTCAGTTCTGCCCTCACAACATATACTTCCTTCTCAGAGGCCCTGTCCTCCTTCCTCGTATCAACATCTGCTTTGGAGAAATGGCTGGTAATGTGCGCTATCGTCTCACTTTTCTGTGAAAGGTCTGTCCTATCCACACTCTAGTCTAGGCCAGTCCCACCCAATGTATACCACAATCCGCTATCGAGGGCTTACTAATTGCTGACCCAGTGCCAGGTGCCTGCCACTTATATCTCATTTCATCCTCAAAACAATCCTATTAGGTATGATAACGTGTTTTTAGCATATGAAGAAACCGAGGCTGGAGAGGTTAAGTTGCCAAGATTCCACAGATAGATAAGGGTGAACTTACTTCCTCATTCTGCCCCTGGTTATTCATGTGGATTTAGCCAGGCTAGAATTTAGAATTCTAGAATTTAGCCAGGCCAGCCCCATCATTTCCTCCAGCTAGACACAGTCTTGTCCACCCTCAAGGACCACTTCAAAGCCACTTTTTCCATGAAGCCTTCTCCTACCCTCCTGTGGTCACAGATAGTGTGGACAACACAATTAAGCACCTATAGTGTTCTGTCATATACTGATCACTGTGACTTCATGTATATTATCATGTTCACCCTGACTCTGCTTAAACTCCTCAAAGATAGCACCAGGCACATAATAGGTACTTATATATACCAATAGGCACTTGATATATACCAATAGGTACTTTGTATATGTGCCAAGCACTATGCTAAGCCCCTTAAATATATTCTTTCTAATTTTCACAAGAATACCTAGGGTAGATGCTATTATTCCACTTCACAGAGGAGGAAGCTGAGGCTCAGAGAAGTAAGTGTCTTGCCCCATACGTCGAGCTCTGGCAGACTGGAATGATCAGCAACGAGTGTGTATGACAGGAGAGTTGGGTAGTGTATATGAAAAAGTTGAACCTAGGTTTTCAGATTCTAAGTTCTTGCCACCCAAAAATAATTTTACTCTAACAAGCTGATGAACCTTAAGCCAAAGAAACAAAGCCATTAGGATGGGATTCAGATGCACAACACAAGATAGATTTGAGGTACTGAATGAAGCCTTCTTCAATTTCTTCTGACAGTATAAGCTGAACCCTTGCCGCACTTCATCAAAAGTCTATCAGAATTTGTAAGTTGGTGGGGTGTGGCCTAAGGCGGACTCTTGTGATCACATTTATGTCTCCTAAGAACTCACCTTTGCATCTCGAACTTCCTTCCCCAAACTCTTGGACAAAACATCAGCATATTGCTGTACTGTTAGCGCTTCTGCACTGAGGCCCACGGCCTTGCCTAAAAACTCTGCTGGAGAATTAAAAATGCTAGAGGTGACTGCTCCAACATCAGCAACAGAGATGCCATCCATTGGTATGTCCCCCATAGGCAGTGCTAGTGGAAAAAAAAAAAAAAAAGATAAAAATAGCTAATGACATCACATCCTTGCTAGGGCCCACCAACTTGAATTAATCAACTAGTAAACAAAAGGCATAGGAAAGCAATGTTACACCAAATGGCCACCGTCTATGCACAATTAATTACAAGGTTTTGTTTGAGAAAATACCATAATGCCTGGGTATTGATTTTTTAAAAAGCATCTGCTATGTGCAACATATGATTAGTTATATGTCCAATCCAGCCATCTCTGCTGAATTTCAGATTCTGTTTGTCCAATTTCCTACTCAAGATCCTTACTTGACTGTTTAATAGACATGTTAAACTCAATGTGCCCCAAAATGAATTCCTATATCCCCCAGCAACTTGCTTCCCCTACAGACTTCCCCATTTCAGTTAATAGCAACTCTATCATTCTAGTTTCTCAAGCCAAAACTCTTGGAGTCAGCTTGACACTTCTCTCACACTCCATATCTTTTTTTAAAATTTTTATTTTTTTGGAAGTCCTATTCATAGCATGTCCAGAATCTGACCACTTCACTGCTACCACCCTGGCCCAAGCCACCTTGGACCATCATCTTTGACTTGGATTATTACAAAGTTGGCCTCCTTGTTTCCACTCTTGCCTTTCCATGGTCTCCTTGTGAACATGTAAAGCTAAAGTCAGCTCATATCATGTCTGTACATACCTTCCAATGGCTCTCTGTCCCTCAAAAGACAAGCCAATGGCTTACAGGACCAGACCTCTGTTAACTCTGCCCTCACTCCTACTACTCTCCCTTACTCCCTTACTTGCTCTGTTCCAGCCACACTAGCTGTTCCCTCTTTCCAAAATGTTCTTCCCTTGAGTACCCACAAAGACCACTACCGAGCTCCATCAGATGTGTCTTTCTCAGAAGCCCACTGACCTTGTTTAAATTTCACACGCCACCTCCTCACTGCTAGCACTCCATGTATACCTAACCTTGCCCTATTTTATCTTATTTTTCTTTATTTGTTTTTAGAGAGAGAGGAAGGGAAAGCGAGAGAGAGATAGAAACATCGATGAGAGAGAACATCAATTGGCTGCCTCCTGCATGCCCCCACTGGGGCCCACAACCTGGGCATGTGCCGACTGGAAATCAAACCAGCAACCTCTTGGTGCATGGGTTGACGCTCAACCAGTGAGCCACACCAGCCGGGCTAACCTTGCCCTATTTTATATAGTACTTACCTTCTAACACACAATATAACTTACTTATCTATTATGTTTATTATCTATCTCCTCTACCCAAATAGGACCTTCATGAGGGTAGACTGCTTTTAACTGCTATTTATTACTGATTCCCCACTAAATGACTAGCACGCAGTAAGTCCTCAAACATTTACTGAATGGATGAAAGAATGAATGAGCCCAGCCGGTGTGACTCAGTGGTTGAGCATTGACCCATGCACCAAGAGGTCACCGGTTCAATTCCCAGTCAGGGCACATGCCCAGGTTGTGGACCTAATCCCCAGTGGGGGGCATGCAGGAGACAGCCAATCGATGTTTCCTCTCTCATCGATGTTTCTATCTCCCTCTCCCTCTCCCTTCCTCTCTCTCTCTAAAAATCAATAAAGAAAAAAAAAATGTTTTAAAGAAAGAATGAACAAACAAATGTGCTAGCTGGTTAAATCTTCAAAACAATCTTGAAACATAGGAATATCAAGTACTGGCCAGAGGTTACTGAACCCACAAGCAGCAAAGTGGGTATAAGCCCTCATGTGTCACTCCAAAGCCCATGCCCTTCCTACAGTGTGACACAGAATTCCCAGAATCCTGAGGCTAGAACCCAAAATAGACATGATTTAGCCCCAGAACTTTCATTTTTTAAAATTAAGTCTATTAACTCTTCATTGCTTCACAGCTAGGAAGCAACAGGCCAGGACAAGAATCAAGGTCTCTGAATTTCAATCCAGTGTAAGAGTGACTTCAGACTCAGCAGTCAGGGACTAAATATCATATTGAATCTTTTGTAGCAAAATTAGCTTCCTGGCTCAATTTCTTGGTAGCAAGCCTGTTTAGATTAAATTATAATTTTATTTTATTTTATTTATTTTTTATATGTTTTTATTGAGTTTTTGAGAGAGAGAGAGAAAAGGGAGAGAGAAATAGAAACATCGATGTGAGAAACATCAGCTGCCTCCTGCACATCCCCTACTGAGGATCAAGCCTGTAACCCGGGCATGTGCCCTGACCGGGAATTGAACTGGGACCTCTCAGTCCATGGGGAAACGCTCAATCCACTGAGCCTGGCTAGGCTATAATTGTATTTTATATTTATAAAGCAGTTTGAGCTTTTTGAAGCACTCAGAGCTAAGTCTATTCTGACTTTGAAGTTCCTTTTGAGAGTTGAGGGTTTCGGGATGAGATTAAAAACAGCTATGGGACAGTGGTAAAGAATATGGCTCTGGAGTCAGACCACCAGGGTCCATGTTCTGGTTCTGCCTTATTAGTGATCTTTGGAAAGTTACTTACTCTATCTTGCCTCAGTTTCCTCATTTGTAAAATGAAGGTAAATAGCGCAGTGCCAGGCCCCTAGTAAGTGGTTAGTAAATGTTAGCTATTCCTATACTATTGAAAGACACCTGAGTCTCAGGAATACCTTAGGTAAGAATGGGTTATATAGACTTTGGGGCCTCAGAGGGACCGGGTACAAGAAGAAATTTAAGACATCACCTCTTCACCCAGGTCAATCTAACCAATAGATTACAGTGTCGTAGTTCAGAACCTGGGAAATGTCTGTAAGCTGGCTTCTGACACGTGGAAAGGGCATAGGAAGAAAGGGGCCAGGGGAAAGAGCTGTATCACATTTATACATTTATCTAGTCAGTCGTTGAACTATTACCAGGTCATCTGTTGTATGGCAGGTGCTCCAGGTTGACTTTGACTGTCACTAGTTATGCCTCTGGTAAGTCTTAATTGTGTGCCAAGAAAAAGAGACTGAATTGCTGCCGTTGATACTCCCATAGCCCCTCCACTCCACAGAGCCACCTCAGACTACAAACAAAGAAATGTCTCCAAAAGGCAGGGGAATTCCAGCCAGTGGACTGAAAGCATTGAAATTACTCGGGATCCTTGTTAAAACTATAGTTTTCCCAGCCCCAGCCCAGACATTCAGAATCAGATTCTTTCTCTGGGGAGTCAGGGCTCCTCTAGGGAATCTGACCATGGGACTCAGATCAAGAGGAGAATGTCTTCCCTTTTGCCACAGAAGGTCAGATGGATGAGCTGGAAGGAACCTTAAAAGTCATTTTGCCCAACTTTTCCATTAGACATGAGGAAACTGAGGCTTGAGGTCACATAGTTAATCACTTGTATAAAGAGCATCAGACCCTTAAGATTGGAAGTGAAATCCTTTGTTTCCAGTCTAAGAAGCAGTTCTCTGTGAAATCTAAAACAATTTGGTACTCCTCTCAGCACTTCACAGAGGTAAGCATGTTGTAGGCTCTCAAATGATATATGTCCACTGCACTGAGGGAGGAAGGGAGAAAGGGAAGAGGAGGGGAGGACAGCAGGTGTCTGGTAACTTCCACTGCAATCTTTCACTTACCCAAGGTGTAGTAATCTCCATTAGAGGCTTTCATGGCCTTCCAAATGGTGAGGAAGTTTTCAAAGTAAGCTGCCAGGCGGATGCTGGTCATGGGAACACCAATGGACCAGAAGTATTCCTCCACTTCTCCCTTCCCGTCAAAGTGTTCAACTTCCAGCTTCCCTCCAGTCAGGCGCTTGACGTTCTCCAAACCGCTGTACACTACATGCTTCAGACCCAGGCGCTTGGCATAATCTGCCACCAGCTTTCCCTAAGGGACAAATGTAAATTATTTGTATAGATGGCTGTATTTGCCTATGGACAAGAGGGCAGGTGCAGCCCCCCCCCCCCCTTTTTTTGGTCCTCCTTAGAGAGGGAGCTCTTCCAGCATCATGTATTCAAGTTACCATCTGAGAGGCAACCAGTATTAGTGAGCAGAGGCTCCACCATGTCAAAATGCGGAACCTCATCAGAAGCTAAGAGGCAGCCTGCTGAGAACAGTCAGAAACATTTGGTCCCTTCTTACACAATCAGTATCTTTGTCATCAACTGCCACATTTATTTATAGATGAGGCTCAGGGATATGCAAGAAAACAATATACAGTGTAATAATGTTTTCTGGTAATGAATTATAGCTGAACACCATTTGGAATATAGAGAGCATCATGAAGACATATATATGTATTTTTTTTGCTTTTTTGTGTTTTAGTTCCAAATTTTACAAAGCACTTTCATCTCTCTTTTTCTTTCTTCTTTCTTTCCAATGTTTCCTTCTTTTTTTCCCCAAACAAAAAACTCCATGTAGCAAGCAGAGAGGACATAATTAATCTGGTTTAGTAGATGCAGAAAGTGAAGCAGAGAAAAGACTTTGTACCTCTGGCTGCCACAGTGAGTGAATATCAGAATTAGAACCCAGAGTTTCTAAAATAAGCCCTTCCAAAGTTTATCACTAAAAGACAAGCTGTAAATGGTATAATTAATTTAACACATTCCTGAAATGGCTCAATCCTGCTCTCAATTTTTTGAATTGTGCCATTTCTGCAAAGAGGCTGATCCCGTCCATTACATTTTTTAAATCTAATCTTCATATTTTCCTCAATTTATACATATATAAAATTTCAAATAGGACTGTCATAGGGGGAAAATTGAACTTTTAATGACACAGACGCTCCCTGAGCCCCCATGTTATACCTGCTCTCCAGAAGTAACTCCTTTCATCTCTTTCAGATGTTTCTTTATTTCTAAATAGCAGGTTTACACTACTAATTCTTGATACTTTTTTCAGTTTAAGATATTGTCTACTAAATTCCTACCATGAAAGATGAGCACTTATCTTTAGTGCTCTCTCTCTCTCTGTCTCTCTCACATACACACAGACACAGACACACACACACAGTCCACCACCACCCATATATGCAGTTCCCTTTTTTTCCCCCTCATATTCCCAATATCATAATTTTGGGTCAGATCAATAATCAGTGCTTATACACAGCTGAAGTTGAACCATGCAATATTCTATGGTTACATTTATTTTTTTCTACAAACTTTTATTTTCCGTGACATTAATCATTGTAGGTTTATTTGCTTGTTTGTTTAGTTCTTTTTCTAAGTACCCATTACTCATTTCTTCCCAAATTCTCTGCCAGAAGTATAAGTATACTCATTACATTTTTGTTCTTCCCTTTTCACTTCAGAGTTACGTTGATCTGTGGGGTACCCTTCACAGGCCACATACCACCAATGGTGGGCATCTAACGGCTGGCTCCACTGCGTGGTCACTCAGACCTCCATGGTCTTGAGATGTGGACATGGGCTACAGAACACTGCTTTCACAATCAAAGACACCTCTAACAACTGCATGAAGTACACAAATTTCATAAATATCAGAGAGAGGTGGAGTGGCACATATTTTTGCCCAGACTGAAAGCCTACCCCCTTCAACGAGGGCAGAGCAGCCAGGGAGGGTAGGATGAGAGGGCTCGAAGGTGTTCCCACCTGACACACTTCTTTCTCTTTGCTGAAATGGTCCCAGAAGTTGGTCACCACGAAGGCCCCATAGGCATCTTTTAAGGCGGCCTCCACCGAGGCTTCATCATTCAGGTCCCCTTTTACCACCTCAGCGCCAAGGTCCCGGAGCAACAGTGCCTTTGGTCGAGTCACATCCCTGGTGAGTGCTCTTACAGCAAACTTTTTGCTCTCCAAAATGGCCCTGGCCACAGAACCACCCTGAGCTCCTGCAAGATCAGGGAAGAAGAAATGGAGGAATGATCAGGAGGAATGGTCACTAAAACATAGTGGGTCAGGAAGTGCTATTATTCAGAGTACAGCTATTGTGATAACTACTTCAGAGGCATCCCCATGGCTTGCAGCAGTAGTTGTCAAACTAGATTTCTCGCAGCCTCATCAGAGGCAACTTTGCAAAATCCATGGGGGAAAGAATGGGAGAGGCCTGACACAACAAGGAGGCCAAATGAGCACCATGCCAGACCCTCCACCCCAGATTCAACTGGGAAAATCTACTTTTATCTGGGTATAGATTTTATTTTGAGGTTCTTCACACAATTTTTATTTTCAAAAGAGCTTCCTGTTTTGTTTTGTTTTAAGTTGAAAACTTGCATAAATTTTTTTTATTTTTATCCTCACCCAAGGAAATTTTTGCATTTATCTTCAGATAGAGCAGGAGGGAGAGAGGGGGGAAAGAGAGAGAGAGAAACATCGATGCAAGAGGGATATACTGACTGTTTGCCTGCCACCTACATGACCCTAACCAGGGCAGTGGACAAACTGCAACCGAGGTACCTGCCCTTAGCAGGAACTGAACCCGGGGCTCTCTGGTCCACAGGCTGATGCTCTAACCACTGAGAAAACTGGCCAGGGCATAAGTTTCTTTTTATGGCATTTAAAGTCACTGATGGTATAATCATTACTTGCTTAATTTACCTACAAATATTTACTGAATGCCCTGTGATATGTGCCAGGTACTGTGCTGGTTTACCGACATTTGGGATCCTCTATCAGATTGGTTGTATACCTGTCCTGAATATGTTTTTTGTGCCTTCAGATATACCTTCACTTTCTGTATTCTGCTTAGAGCCCTGGGAGGCTGACCTGTATGGACTCCATCAGTAGGCTCTCTTCTTGCTCTCAGGTTGGGTCTGGCCAGTGAGAGGCATCAGCAGGAGACCCAAGGGAAGGAGGAGAGGTGGCCACCTCCATGTTGCTACTCTCCCCAGATTTTGGTCATCTACTTGCCCTCTGCTCCTTCCTCCTATTGCTTATTCATTATTGGTCTCTTCCCTTTCGGCCTTTATTTTTTCCTCAGCTTCTCTGTACGAATGTGGCACTAGTTTCTTGTGGAACCTCAACTGATACATCAGTGATAACCCTATAGAGTCTGCCGTTCAATGAGCTCTGCTTTTGTACAGGGAGCTTCAGCCGAAGTTTAGTGCTCTAGTAATAAATATGAACAGCCAACGGTCACCAGATATTTGAAGAAAGCCTCCAAACAATAAATAAATAAACAAACAAATTGATAAAAGGAAACAGAAACAATGCAGTGAACAGAAGAAAAACTTTAAAGCATTAATATCTTCAGAGACTGGAAAAGATTTTGCACTCAGAACACTACTTCTGCATACTGTACCAATAAAAAGGGAGAGAGAGGCGAGAGTACATTCAGAAGAGAAGATGAAGCTCCCAGAAATTTGAAATAGTATAGCAGAAATAAGTTTTCAATAGAAAAAGCTAGAAAAATCTCTCAGAATTAAAAGGAAAAAAAAATAACAACAAAGAAATGGAAAACAGTAAAAAGAAAAGAGAGGATCAAGCCAGGGGAATTTCAGAATGAGAGAATAGAGAAAATGGACATATGAAATTATCAAAGAAGATAATTTCCCAGAATTCAAGGATATTGAATGAGGTTCCAGATTAAGGAACCACTGAGTGCCCAGCACAATGAATAAATAAAGTCTCATATGATTTACATAACTGTGAAATTTCAGAACACTGGGGTTAAAAAAAAAATCTTACAAACTTTGGTGGAAGGGTATTCAGTTCAAAGGTGGGGGATAAAAATAGCACTAGATTTCTTTATAACATTGGAAACAATGAAGTAATGCCACTTGGGGGGGGGGGATTAATTTCTATCTAGAATTATAAACCTAGCCGAATGATCAATTGATTCTAAACATTTCATATAAAGACATTTTCAGACAGTCAAGGTTTCAAAAATGTAACTACTTTGTATACTTTCTCTGTAAGCTACTGGAGGATGTGCTCCAGCAAAATGACAAAGTAAAGCAAGAAAGAGGAACCCAGGAAACAGAAACCAAACTCAGGAGAAAAGCAAAGAGAATTATCAGAATAATGGGGAAGAAAATCCAGGAAGACTGAAATAGAAAGAGAGAGCATTCTAGGAGGAAGATTTCCATGGAGAGAAAAAAAAACAGAACTAAGAGATTAATTGATGTGTTTGCTCATTTTGAGAGAAATTATCTAACTTTACTGGAGAGATTAGGGAGAAAAAAATAGTGATAGGCACAAAGAAAACTAAACAAATAAAAATAAAGGCAATTATTAATTTCAGGAAAAACAAGAAATTATGTGAGAAAAAAGGGCACATTACATGGTTCAAGTATGAACAATAATTACATAGTCATAATAAGAGTCCATATTTAGTCCATCATCCATGTGAAAAATACAAATTATTATAAACTATATGGGGAGGATGAAAAAAAGGAAGTATGTCTTGGGGCTGGGGATATAGGAGAGCTAAAGACAATGAATAATATCTAAAATTTAAAAATCAAGAAATAGCATATTATCACATTATTTAGAAATACAGAGACAAATACCAGTAGAAACAGAAGAGTTAAATGTGGAAAGGGGTAGGGTAAGGTCTGCTGGGTTTCTTTATAAGCCTTGTAGGACTATTAGACTTTTAAAACTATTATATGTACATCTATAAAAATAATTATTATAAATATTAAAAATATTTGTCGGCTATATTAGTTTGCTAAGCCTACCATAACAAAATTCCAGATTGTGGCTTAAACAAATGAAATATATTTTCTCACAGTTCTGGAGGCTAGAAGCCCAAGATCAAGGTGTTGCTATGTTTGGTTTCTCCTGAAATCTCTCCCCTTGGTCTGAAGATCAGGGACCTTCTCACTGTGTCCTCATATGGTCTTTCCAACTGTGCACTCTAGCCCCTCCTGTGACTGTGTGTCAAAATTTCCTCTTATTAAAAGGACACCAGTCCCATAGGATTAGGGCACACTCTCATGGCCTCTCTGTAATACAATTGCCTCTGTACAGGCCCTATCTGCAAATATAGTCATATTCAGAGGTACTAGAAATTAAGGTTTCAACATATGAATTATTTGTGGGGAGAGACACAATTCAGCCCATATCATCATCTATTGTAATTATTTCCTTATAACCCTCCTATTAAACTGGGTTCTCCTTGAGGACTGAAACTGTTTACTTTTAATCCCTGTTTCCCAACCATGTGCTGAGACTATTCTCTGGCAAACTGCAAATTTCCAACATCTATATATTGAATGAATGAATGAATGAATGAATGAATGAAGTTAAAAGACTGAAACCTCTGTGCTCTCAACTCTTAGGTTTGGAGGTGGACAGTCCTGCATGGAAGTGTATGAACGAATAAGAGGAGCTGGACCAAGACCAAGACTGGCTTTCTTAACTAGTCCCACTTGTAATGTTTTATATTTTACTACCCAAACCAGGAGAAAAATTCACCCATCTTGACCCTGTTTCTTTAAATTAGCAAGACATAACCATAAAGTTATCAGTCCAAAAAAGCAGCCCCCAGCCCTGGCCAGTTTGGTTCAGCTGTTAGAGCATCGGCCTGCGGTCCAGAGAGACCTGGATTCGGTTCCTGCTAGAGGCGCATACCTCAGTTGCAGTTTGTCCCCGGCCCTGGTTGGGTTGTGCAGGTGGCAACCACTCGATGTGTCCCTTTTGCATCGATGTCTCTGTCTCTCTCTCTCTCTCTCCCTCACTCTCCCTCCCACTCTATCTGAACAAAAAATGGAAAAAGTGTCCTTGAGTGAGGATAAAAAAAAAAAAAGCAGCTCCCAGAACATGCATTCTTAACATGTTCAGTTGTTCCAGACCCTCCTCATTTATTCTGGATCATTCACTCTTGGATCCAGTTCACTTCCAAGTGATACCATGTTGAGGACAGTGTCAACATAAGAAATATGCAAACCTGTAGAGAATTTTTATAAGTGTTTATTTTAGTGTTCGCTTCAGCAACGTATATACTAAAAGTATTTGAGCCAACTGACATCTGCCAGGGAACAAGATCTCAACTGCTCTGCAGAATAACAGTTTTGCAGTTCCCTTTATGCATTTGAAATTAAGGAGGGAAAGGAGCATGCTGTTTAACATGCTCATCCAAACCCAGTAAGCAGTAAGCAAGGCAAGGATTAGATTACAGGATAGTTAACAAGATTATGTGCTTTCTTGAGGGTAGTTATTTCAAAGGTATGTTAACCCAGAGATGTGAAAATGGCAGCGGAATGAATGAAAGCTACACAGTTGATCTCCAAGGACCAAACAGGAATTGCAACTAAAATAAAAACAAATCATTGGATAAAAAACAACAGAAAAGCAGTGGGACAAAACCATATAACCAGGATCACTAGTAAGATCTGCGGAGGTGCCACAGGGTGGTGGGCTGGGAGCCCACGGACAGCAGCAGTCTTAGCTGTGAGCAGCACCCTTGGGGATAAAATACTAACCCTGCTCTACAGCACAGAGGGCTAGAACACAGCACTGGATTGGCTACAGCCACTCACCTGGGGCTCCAGCAGAGGGAGGGCAGACTGGACTGAAACTCTGTGGGGACCCCCAGGATTTGGAGGGTGCTCAGAGTTTTTGCTGAGTCGCAGCCACAAAGGACAGTGGCCAGCTTGCTCCTTCCCGGAGCTGTGGGGAAAAGCAGCAGCCCCTCCCTCAGAGAGTCAGCCCCTTCCAGGTGAGACAAAGAAATGCAAATTGAGGCTCATTAACAATCAGAATCAGTCCCACCCTCTCTAAATCCTCTTATGAAAAACACCAGGCCTACATTCCAAGGCCCTGAGTAACTGAGACTAATAGGCTCCAGGCAAAAAGCTAGAGGATAACTGAACCTTTCCTGAGCTTGCAAATCTACCCAGGAAAGCAAGACTTGACAGTGGTGTTTAACATGCTCATCCAAACCCAG